ATGAGATGTACCTTGATACAGTGTGTCTGAATGTAAGTATAAATGCTTGCTTACCTGCTGCCTTCTGTGGCATGTCGTGGGTGCGGCTGATCGCTAAACACACAGTGTGTATTCCTCGCAGATGGTCCAGGATCCGTCCCAGTTTGATGTTCTTGTTATGCCAAATTTGTATGGAGACATCCTTAGGTGAGTCCAGCTATACCCTGTAGTCTATAATTTATTTATAAATGTCCTGAAACGAATGTGGCTTAAGAAGTTTCATTCGAATATTAAAAAGTATAGCGTGTGTGGTAGGAGTTGGATCCTGGTGATTTGGGTGGTAATGTCCATGATCACATGTTGGATGGGTGATTCGTTTAATTTGCCAAATTGGCCCTGGGCTGTTGTCCTCTAATGATTCGTCCCTTTTCCCATTCTGAGATGTTTTATTGGTTGATTGATTTCAGTGTGTTACTATGTATAGCTAATGGGTGGGTCATTTTGTTTTTTTTAAGATTTTATTTTATTTGACAGAGGAAGTGCAAGCAGGGAGAGCGGCAGGCAGAGGGGAAGCAGGCTCCCGGCTGAGCAGGGAGCTGGATGTGGGGCGCGATCCCAGGACTCTGGGATCACGACTAGAGCCAAAGGCAGACGCCCAACCCATTGAGCCACCCAGGCCCCCCAAGTGGGTGGTCATTTTTACAAAATTTTTGTGACTTTTGATATAATTTCTGTAAAAGAAATTTTCTGTAAAAGACTTACAGAAAAGTTGCAGGATGGTACAAGGAACTCCTGTGTCCCCGGCCCCCCCAGCCCACCCCTGCTAACGTTACTTCTGCCTCTCTTCCCCTCGCCCTGCCTTCCTCCTCCTGGTGTCCTCCCCAACCACATACACGAAGTTGGCCATTATTCCTTCTACATCTGTTAGCCGGTACTCGGCTGCGAGGATCAGCTTCCCTTCTCTCATTGATTTGTGTCCTTACGTCAGTTTGACTCGTGGGTATAACCGTGAGTTCTGTCCGTCACAGCCGTCGTTTATATTAGCCAGTGTGCGTCCGTTTGAGCTGTCATGTCCTGGACACGGCCGACCGTCTGCTTTCTGGCACAGTAAGCTGCCTCCGGCCCATCCTGGGTTTTTCTAACTGTGGTCCCAGATCAGCCATTTCTCCAAGGAGCCCTGGTTCCCTTTGGCAGAGAATGGTATTTAAAATCCAAAGTCTGGGGCGCTGGGTGGCTCATTTAAGTGTCTGCCTTCAGCTCAGGTCATGATCTCAGGGTCCCGGGATCAAGCCCTGTGTCTGGCTCCTGGCTCAGTGGGGAGCCTGCTTCTCCCTCTGTCTGCTGCTCCCCCTGCTTGTGCTCTCTCTCTAGCAAATAAATAAATAAAATCTTTAAAAAATAATAAATAAAATCCAAAGTCTGGGTGAGGTGTTTCATTTTTCAGAACACCCTTTGAAATGTTTTTCTGCCCCCAGTGACCTGTGTGCGGGATTGATTGGAGGTCTTGGTGTGACACCAAGTGGCAACATTGGAGCCAATGGGGTTGCGATCTTCGAGTCGGTAAGGACCTGAGTGGTAAGGACCTGGGTGACGTGGGAAGTGGCGTTCACATAGGAATGGCCTGAGGGCCCAGGGTGGGGTTATCTGCACGAATATGGTTCAGCTGTTGAGTTTTCCCAGGAGTCGAAATAAAATGATGCTTTCTTTAGGTTTTTTTATATAAGCTTGGTTTATTTATTCATTTCCCCCTTTTTTATTTTGTATCATTATTTATTATGTGTCCTTCCTCAGTTACATCTTATCAGAAGCTGGAAAGGATTGTTAGCCCGTGTTTTTCCACTTTCCCCCCATGGTTTTGGCTCTTGGTTTTTCTGAGGCTTTACTTCCCGACCCCATGTCTGATGAATGAGAAGACGTGACAGGGCGCAGCGTCCCCAGGAGAGGGCTGTTTGCGGTCCCTCTGACCATGTTTGTGTTCCTCCGGTAGGTTCACGGCACCGCCCCGGACATCGCGGGCAAGGACATGGCCAACCCCACGGCCCTCCTGCTCAGCGCTGTGATGATGTTGCGCCACATGGGGCTTTTTGACCACGCTGCGAGGGTTGAGGCTGCGTGCTTTGCCACAATTAAGGATGGAAAGGTTTGGGTCATCGTCTTGCACACATTGTGTTTGGGTGAAGGCAGCAGTCGTTGGTTCCCCGAGCACACGTGGGTCCGCTCTATGGAGAGAGGAGCTGTGCGTTCCGTCGTGGCAGGGGCTAGGAAGCACTAACCCAGAGACGCCCGTGTGCTTTAGGAGGAGCCGCGGTTCGGGGCCAGAGTCAGTGAGGCCTCGATGTCCTGTTGTCAGTGCAAAACCAGGGTCAGGTCCCTGCTCCTCCCCGCCAGCAAACCTGTGTGGTGCGCGTGATAAAGCCTGCGGAGTCTTAACACGCGAGGGGAGCTAAGGTCCAGGCTGCGGGGCCAGAGAATCGAGCGGCAGGGCCGGATCAGATGTGCGGAGACGTGCTCCACGTGTGTTGTGAAAGCAAAGCACGTTCATAAAAGGAATCATCGTGGCTGATAAACTAAATGTTGGGTGACTTTATGTTCTTCATGCACATCATCTCTGTAAATCTCTGCTGCTCTGTGAAGTAGATGCTACGACTAACCCCCTTTGCCAGGTGAGGGAACCTGGCACAGAGAGACTGACTGACTCGTCCAAGGTCCCACAGCTCCTCCGGGGTGGCTGGGGCTCACAGTCTGGCTCAAACCCAGCTTCGTTGTTCTGCGCGCAGGCAGAGAGCGAGGCTGCAAAGGCATAGCATCTGTTTGGAGAGAGTGCTGCCTCAAGTGCCTCGGTGGCCCTTGGAATTGTCGGGACACAGTGGGATGGGAGAACCAAGTGTTTTGGGGTCCCTTTGGGAGTGAAGGGAGGGTACGCTGTCGGAGGACCCGGGGGCCTGGTGGGAGAATTTCTCTTCTAAGGAGGAGAGTCGGAGAGCTAGTGATTCAGGGGTGCCTGGCGGGCCGCCTCGGTGCAGTGTGGGCCTCCTGATCTCTAGCTCATGAGTCAGGCCCCACGTGATTCAAATATTACCTTAAATTTGTTTCTCAGCTTCCAAAATAGGTCAGAGTACGTTTTTTCAACTTTAAAAATTCCCCAAGGGATTTATGGGTTGTTTAAATGTCCATAATCAATCTTAGGGTCTACTGTACGGACAGAGGGAGAATTTTGGAAAGCCTCCCTCCTCCATTTTGTCTTGAGAGCGCCTTGTCCTCTCCAGCGTGTTCGTGCGCGCTAATTGGACCCTGGTCATTCTGGGCGGGGGGTGCCGGACGTGCTCGGGGGCTGCGCTAACTGGA